TGAGCTTCATTCTAAACCAACATCCTCAACTCCAACTCTTGTTTATGTTCATTACAGACTGGTAGAATAACATGTCACATTTGATGACTTTGCAGCATAGATGTCAGGAATGCAGCTTGGGATCACCTGCCTCTACTTAGAGTTCAGTCTGAAGGGATGAGCAAGGAATTGTTCCTGGGCTGATGGAAATCTCTTCTAAAGTCTGTTTTTCTAACACTCTTCTAGATGCTTCTCTGTCCATCGCTCTGACCTGCCAACTCTGGTGCAAGTGTGCAGTTGTGGCAAGAGGGATTTCCTAGCCCTGATTTGACCTGGTGGACACCAACTTTCCTAGTCAATTGCCGATGTTGCTGAGGAGGCAGCAGTACCAAAGCCCTTGCTGATGAAGATAGAACAAGTCTGGGGAGGCTTTGGCATTTCTGCACAATGCTGCCTTCCTGATTGTGACCCAAGACGCAGATTCTGAACTAGGCAAAGTAAGCTAGAGTAAGCTAGACTGCATGTCCTGGTCATTTTCTTTTCTTTATTTATTTTTCATTCGTCGCTTGTAAGAAAATCTAAATCTTTCAACCATTTGTTTGAAAACACAGTTTTATGGAAATGATTGTGGGTGTGCTCCTTAACCTTGTTTGGAACCTGTTTAACCTCGCTTCAGTTAGAGGAGACCTGTGCTCAAATTTATGCTTACCATGATCAAGTGGCATCCTTTTTCCTTTTGGTATTCTTGACTTTGGCGCTTGCAAGTGAGATTGAAAAGAGTTCTCAGGATGATTCTTCTTTTCCTTTGCAGTATCCCAAACTCCAGATTACATCTGATCTTCATCTCTGATCTGAAAGCTTCGCAGGCCAAAAGAGAATTGAGATGAGGAGTGAAATACAGAATGCTGGTGAATCTTTCCAGTTGCCACCCGTAAGTTTTGTGAGAGAAGCAGGTGCGTTGCTGTAGTGGTAGGAAGTCAATAAGATAACGATCATGCCCTTGAAGGCGAGTAATGGTAGAAAGATGAAGAATGCAAGGCCCTGGTTAAGACAGTCTTTAGGCTGCTTCTGGATCAGCAGTTTGTTTGGTTCTTGCACAGCCTCATCTCCACTTGCTTAGAAGCTGTGAAGATGGGAAGAACACTTGGTGTTTTTCATCCACTCTCAACCTCATCTCCATTTCCTCCGAAGCTGTGAATATTGGAAGTACACTTGGTTCTTCCAATGATGTGAAGAGCCAAGTGTCTTGGGTCTTCCATCAACTCAGAGATATCAAGAGAATAAGGTATTTGCTTGATGGGACAGTACTTAATGTAGGTATTTATGAAGTGAAGAAGAACGCTGAAACCAGCCAAAGCCCTATCAGACATGGTAAGGCCATGCTTCTGTTAGGAAGTAATTCAGAGTGCTTCCGTGGTGTACTTTGGACAGATGAACTCTGGTCCTCTGGACTAAAGCACCCCCAAGGGACAATTCTCTGAAAAATCTCTCGGAATGATCTGTCCTTATCTCTTACACTGTAGTCTCCATGAGGAAAGGATAAATATTCATTGCCCATGTGGAAAGGAGCTCCTCATGTAGTTGTTTCTAAGCAAAATCTCCTTCTTGTGTTCTGTTGACAGAAACCACTTGGCGAGCCAAGCCAAATCACCGAAAATGGAAGTAGTGGAACTACTTCCAAACCGTGCTGCTGCTTCTAAACCAAACTGCGGTGTAGGTGGGGACAGAGCAAGGGGACACAACCCAGCCAGGGCGAAATTGAAAGTCACCTGTCTGAGCCGCGGAAGGAAGTCAGCGCTTCCCAGTTTGAGACTGTTCCCTGACTGGTCCCACAGCAGCTGGAACGCTTCCGATTGCTGCTGATGGATTCCCATGGATCAGCCAGTGACACAAGCTGCCAGAGCGACTGAAGCGATCTGGAGTTACGCTTCTCCCCTTCTGCGTTCAGATCCGTGAAAGGAAGGAGAAGAGGGGAGAAGAAGAGGGGAGAAGAAGAGAAGAGAGAGGGGGAAAGAAAAGGACAAGAAGGGAGGGAAGGGGAGGGAAGGGGAGGGAAGGGGAGGGAAAGGGGAAGGAGGGGAGGGGAGGGAATGGGAGGGGAGGGCAGGGCAGGGCAGGGGCATGTAGGGCATTGTAGGGGAGAGTAGGCTATGTAGGATAGTGTTGGGATAGTGTAGGATAGTGAGGGGGAGTGTAGGGGAGTGTAGGGAGGGGAGAGTAGGGGAGGATTAGTGTAGGGAGGGGAGTGCAGAGGGGAGGGGAGTGCAGGGGAGATGAGCATAGAGGAGGGGAGTGCAGGGGAGTGTAGTGTAGGGGGGTTTGGGGAGTGTAGTGTAGGGGAATGTAGGGGAGGGGAGTTTAGGGGGAGTGTAGGGGAGGGGAGTGTAGCGGAGGATAGTGTAGGGAGGGGGAGTGTAGAGGAGGGAAGTGTAGAGGAGCATAGGGGAGTGGAGTGGAGTGTAGGGGAGTTTAGAGGAGTGAGGGGAGGGGAGTTTAGGGTAGGGGTTGAGTGTAGGGGAGTTTAGGGGAGGGGAGGATAGTATAGGGGAGGGGAGGGGAGGGGAGTTTAGGGGAGGGATGGGAGTTTAGGGGAGGGGGAGTTTAGGGGAGTGGGGGAGTTTTAGGGGAGTTAGGGGAGTTTAGGGGAGTTTAGTGGGAGTTTAGGGAGGGGAGTTTAGGGAGTTAGGGGAGGGAGTTTAGGGGAAGTTTAGGGGAGTTTAGGGGAGTTTAGGTGGAGGGGAGTTTAGGGGAGGGGAGAGGAGTTTAGGGGAGGGGTGTTTAGGGGAGGGGAATTCAGGGGAGGGGAGGGGAGGGGAGGGAGGGGGTGGGTATTGGTGGGAAGTAAGGAATGGGCCAGGGAGGGAATGGGAGGGGAGGGGAGTGCTACCCTAAATAAAATGGCCAAGAAGTGGCCTTTTGGATCTGGAGCCAAATATGTATGTTGCCATTCATTCCACAACGCGATTCATCACTGCAATCTGCGTTTTGCACAGTGCCATTAAGGGTTGGCATGCACAGAGGTGACTGAGGTATTTTCAGAACTAACTTTCCTTCCTAACTGATTTGAGACTTTTGCTGGTGTTCTCAATGGCTCAGTCTTGCAAATAGGGCAAGAATCAAAGTTACCATGTATGAAAGGAACGCATTTCCCTTCAAGCTCTCTATTGACACGAATTGCTAAAACCTTCCTCACACTGGAATGCAAAAGATCAGGTGATTGGTTAACGTAGGGTTGGCAGCTGAGCAGGGGAAACATCTTCAAAACTTCCAAATATTTCCCCTATGCAGAACTCCAACTCCTTCTTCTCTGCTCTCTGCTTGTGAAAGTTTCTGTCACCTGCTCAGGAAGCAGAAGCAGTCAAATGGGATTTCGAGGGATCCAGCTACAGCATCAGTGCCAGTTAGAGGAAGCAATCAATTCCCAGGTAGTCCAGGCTTTGAAGAGAGTTAAGCAGCTTTCCAAGGAACATGGCCAAGTGCAAAGCAACCAATTGATCTGACTGTCCAGTGAAAGAAAAGCAAGTGCAGAGCAGCAAATGCTTGAGAGAGGGAAACCTTTTTGAAGCACAGCCATTTGGGGCCGAGACCTGTTAATGTGCTAGGCAGTCCCAGGAAGCGTCAAAGTGTGAGCCGTGCTCTCCATCCAGCACTGGCGTCCTGCACTTTCTGGAGGTTCTTGATTCTGTAATCAGAATTCCAACAAGCTCCTCAACAGCATACAGATCCAAAACCCACAGACCCAGATCAAACAGCCTCCCATCTGGTTGTATCATTGTCAGGCATGCATTCTTTTCTAGTAACTGGTCCTTTCTTCCTTAGTTCAGATCAAACACAAATAACAAAATTCAGATGACTCCTAAACTCTCCAGACAGCTCTGGTGTTGCTGTAGGATGGAATACAATTGTTTTCCTTACAAACCCCCCAGTTATTTCCATGTCTGTTCTGGACCTTGGGATCTCTTTTGGGAGCTACATTACGCAGAGAACTACAACAAGGCTGAGATCACCGCTGCCTCAATGTAATGCAAAGGTGAAGGCCTTTAGGACAGCCAGTTTGGAAATGAATGCTGCCCCATCTTGTCAGCATCAGAGCAGAGCCAGCTCCAGATGGCTCCAAAAAGGAGCTGCTGCTGGCCAGAGCCGAGGCAGGGAGTGCTGCTGGGTGGGCTTCGGGGGAGCAGATTTAAGGAAGGGGGGGAAAATACTGCTGTGCAACAGCAGCCGAGGAGAGAGAAGATTGTGAAAGCTGTGAGAGAAGCAGCCCCTGCAGCTCCCAAGAGAAGGCGCGCAGGAGGGCAGGAGGTGCTGCAGGCAGGCAGGCAGCAGCAGTTCCCTGCGGGCTGTGCAGGGAGAGGCCCCTGGTGGAGCAGGCTGTCCCCCTGCAGCCCATGGGTCCCCCATGGAGCAGATCTCCACGCTGCAAGCCCCCCCATGGGTGGAGGAGCCCCCGCTGGAGCAGGTGGCTGTGGCCTGGAGGAGGCTGCGGCCCATGGAGAGCCCCCGCAGGAGCAGGGCCCCGGGCCGGAGCTGCAGCCCGTGGAGAGGAGCCCACGTGGAGCAGGGGCAGAGAGGGACCGAGAAGGAGTGGTGGAGATGAAGTGCTACAGACTGACCACAACCCCCAGTCCAGTCCCCCTGTTCCCCTGCGCTGCACGGGGGGGAGGAGCTGGAAGAGCTCAGATGGGGGGAAGGAGGTGGTTTATGGTTTTCTTTCCTTTGGTTCTCACTTGTCTAGCCTGGTAGTAGTAGTAGTTAGGCCGGGAAATCTTACTGTCTCCCTATGCTGAGTCTGCTTGCCCATCACGATCCTTGTTGAGCGATCTCCCTGTCCTTGTCTCAACCCCTGAGCCCTTTGCATCGTATTTTCTCTCCCTTTCTCTCTGAGGAGGGGGAGTGAGAGAGTGCCGTGGCCGTGATGGAGCTCGGCTGCCCACCCACCGAAAAGCACTGCAGCTGCAAAGGTACTGGAAAAGTTTTTCAGAAGCAACAAGGTGTTTTAACAAGGAAATGTATAGTTTCCCTTTTTCAGGCTTCCTAAATAATTGGGCTTATTTCCTATTCCCAACTCGGAGGAGGAGAATTGTTGATTTCACCTTCTTTTTTCTTCCTTGGAAATCAAAGGTGAACAGCTCTAAAAGTAAGGGGACACGTATCAGAAGCAAGCTTTTTTGGCTTGTAATCCTTTCTTAAGGAAAAGATTTCTCACACACCTTCCCCAGATGTAGGGGGGCAGAGAATAATTTTGGAACTACTCCAATTAAAGTCAGCTTGGGGAGAGTGGGACTTCTCTACTTGTTTTCTGAGACATTCGCAATTAGCCAAGAGAGAGTGTTGTGTTGCCGCTGCCAGGGGCCTACGGTGATGACTTCAGCAACAGAATTGAATGATGTCACTGTGACACCTTGGTAACAGCTGCCTCTGAGCAAGTTTAGCGAGGAGGGACAGAGAAGTGTGCTGGATGAAACCACGTGAGGACTTGTGGATCCCACGTTGAGGTGCCTCGAGAGGGCCCCACCCTTCGTAAGTGTTTGGATGCTTCATTTTAGATTTCTGTAGTTTGTGTAAAGTCCTTTCACAAGCATGACGTTTGGTACTTTGGCTCAGGGATGTAGCTGCACAGAGTGACAGGTGCAACATGTGGCTGAGGGCCTCTGCACGTTCTCTCTTTCCCACACACGATCAAGAAAGAAGGGTAGACAAATAAGAGTGTGCTGTGGTCCTGCCATAGACCTCAAGTACTACAGCATAAACAAGAGACCTTAAAAGTAGCCCATCACATGAAACTTCCGGACAGCCAATGCACTTCATCAGCTGGTCTGGCCTTGTTGAGTGGAGTGTCTCAGGATGGAGTGTATGAAGATTGCACTCCATCTACTTTTGCTTTCAGATTAGCACTTGCAGTGAGCAAGCTGCCTGGCCTTCTACATTTTTTTCATTCCCATTTTCTCACCACGACTTTGATGGTTCTCTTTGTCTTAGAAAAAAAAACAAAAAAAAAAAAAAAAAAAAAAGTGAACTCAGATCAAATAGAAGGATTCCTTTTCATTAATTCCCGATTTGTCTAACTTGACAGAGTTTGGTTATTGACGTAGAAGGGACCATATTGGACCTGACTGCCAACACCCATGCTCGCAGTGTGGGACAGTTTCCATAAAGGTGATTCCGGTGTAGTTTCTGGAAACGAAGACATCAGATGGCAAAGGTAATCTCCATTTATTATTTATTTATTTATTTATTTTTTTATTTTTTTTTGTGCTAATGCAGGAAAGGCAAGTAAGAGTAAAAGTAAGAGTCCAGATAGTGTAAGAAGCAGCAGCTGTGAAGGAAACTTCCTTCTGGCTGATATGGCTCCATATCTAGTTGTGGAGGTCATAGTGCAGGTGGAAGCATGTTCTCGTCCTCTGTTTTCACAACAGGTCGAGCAGCAGAATGTCTTTGAAACAACTGTGCCTATGACCAAGTTCATGCATCGTGGTAGACAAGGTAAAAGCTCTGGACAAGCAAAGGGGAGGGATGGATGGGCATGCAATACATCACTTCAATCTTATCTCTCTAAGAAACCTTACTGAGAAAACAAAACAGAACAGAACAAATGAAACAAACAGCTAGCTTGCTGGAGACATTGTCTGGGAAACAGTGAAAACACTTGCAGACAAAAACATATCCAAGGACTAACACTTTGAGCTTCATTCTAAACCAACATCCTCAACTCCAACTCTTGTTTATGTTCATTACAGACTGGTAGAATAACATGTCACATTTGATGACTTTGCAGCATAGATGTCAGGAATGCAGCTTGGGATCACCTGCCTCTACTTAGAGTTCAGTCTGAAGGGATGAGCAAGTAATTGTTCCTGGGCTGATGGAAATCTCTTCTAAAGTCTGTTTTCTAACACTCTTCTAGATGCTTCTCTGTCCATCGCTCTGACCTGCCAACTCTGGTGCAAGTGTGCAGTTGTGGCAAGAGGGATTTCCTAGTCCTGATTTGACCTGGTGGACACCAACTTTCCTAGTCAATTGCCGATGTTGCTGAGGAGGCAGCAGTACCAAAGCCCTTGCTGATGAAGATAGAACAAGTCTGGGGAGGCTTTGGCATTTCTGCACAATGCTGCTTCCTGATTGTGACCCAAGACGCAGATTCTGAACTAGGCAAAGTAAGCTAGAGTAAGCTAGACTGCATGTCCTGGTCATTTTCTTTTCTTTATTTATTTTTCATTCGTCGCTTGTAAGAAAATCTAAATCTTTCAACCATTTGTTTGAAAACACAGTTTTATGGAAATGATTGTGGGTGTGCTCCTTAACCTTGTTTGGAACCTGTTTAACCTCGCTTCAGTTAGAGGAGACCTGTGCTCAAATTTATGCTTACCATGATCAAGTGGCATCCTTTTTCCTTTTGGTATTCTTGACTTTGGCGCTTGCAAGTGATTGAAAAGAGTTCTCAGGATGATTCTTCTTTTCCTTTGCAGTATCCCAAACTCCAGATTACATCTGATCTTCATCTCTGATCTGAAAAGCTTCGCAGGCCAAAAGAGAATTGAGATGAGGAGTGAAATACAGAATGCTGGTGAATCTTTCCAGTTGCCACCCGTAAGTTTTGTGAGAGAAGCAGGTGCGTTGCTGTAGTGGTAGGAAGTCAATAAGATAACGATCATGCCCTTGAAGGCGAGTAATGGTAGAAAGATGAAGAATGCAAGGCCCTGGTTAAAGACAGTCTTTAGGCTGCTTCTGGATCAGCAGTTTGTTTGGTTCTTGCACAGCCTCATCTCCACTTGCTTAGAAGCTGTGAAGATGGGAAGAACACTTGGTGTTTTTCATCCACTCTCAACCTCATCTCCATTTCCTCCGAAGCTGTGAATATTGGAAGTACACTTGGTTCTTCCAATGATGTGAAGAGCCAAGTGTCTTGGGTCTTCCATCAACTCAGAGATATCAAGAGAATAAGGTATTTGCTTGATAGGACAGTACTTAATGTAGGTATTTATGAAGTGAAGAAGAACGCTGAAACCAGCCAAAGCCCTATCAGACATGGTAAGGCCATGCTTCTGTTAGGAAGTAATTCAGAGTGCTTCCATGGTGTACTTTGGACAGATGAACTCTGGTCCTCTGGACTAAGCACCCCCAAGGGACAATTCTCTGAAAAATCTCTCGGAATGATCTGTCCTTATCTCTTACACTGTAGTCTCCATAGGAAAGGATAAATATTCATTGCCCATGTGGAAAGGAGCTCCTCATGTAGTTGTTTCTAAGCAAAATCTCCTTCTTGTGTTCTGTTGACAGAAACCACTTGGCGAGCCAAGCCAAATCACCGAAAATGGAAGTAGTGGAACTACTTCCAAACCGTGCTGCTGCTTCTAAACCAAACTGCAGTGTAGGTGGGGACAGAGCAAGGGGACACAACCCAGCCAGGGCGAAATTGAAAGTCACTGAAAAAGTCAGCTTGAGACTGGTCCACAGCAGCTGGAACGCTTCCGATTGCTGCTGATGGATTCCCATGGATCAGCCAGTGACACAAGCTGCCAGAAAAGCGATCTGGAGTTACGCTTCTCCCCCTTCTGCGTTCAGATCCGTGAAAGGAAGCAGAAGAGGGGAGAAGAAGAGGGAGAAGAGAAGAGAGGGGAAAGAAAAGGACAAGAAGGGAGGGAAGGAGGGAAGGGGAGGGAAGGAGGAAGGGAGGGAAGGGAGGGAGGCAGGGCAAGGGCAGGGCATGTAGGGCATTGTAGGGAGAGTAGGTAGTGTAGGATAGTGGGATAGGTAGGATAGTGAGGGAGTGTAGGGAGTGTAGGGGAGGG